GCTTTCTAAACATACCATGCTAGAGTTAGGGTTTGTATGTAAATAAAAAGAACAAAAATAGTTTGACCTAATTTCAAGATAAACAAGCATGAAAATGGACAACACATTTCACACTTGCACCCCTAGGGTATTCCACTTTGTTGCCTTCAAATAATTGGGCCATATTACATGTTAGGTTTCTTTGGGTAAAACAAACAATCAAATGATCATAAGTCCCTCGATGACGCTTTCGAAAAGTTGCCTAAAATGATCAAGTCCCTTTCAAAGAGAAATTGCCCAAAGATACTTAGTACTATTGCAATTATGGTCTAAACGATGACCCGCGCCCGTCCCTTTCACCTCCTAAAACAAGATTGTCCACCAAATGCAATGGTGGAACAAAATTGTCAAAAAGTTTAAAACATAACAAAAATCTTTGAGAAAACTTTAGGGTAGATAACTCTTAGGTACTTGTCAATTTGCAAAGAAAACACTTGCCTATTTTCAAACCACACTTCACAAACACTTTCAAAACAAACTTTCAAAAAACCTTGAAACATCTTTTCAAAAGACAAAACACCTTTTGTAAAACATTCGAGTAAAGAATTGTTACAAGGGTAGCCTATACAAGGCATCTTTTCAAAACATTTTCAAAACCACACACCGAGCACCATTTCAAACAATTGAAAACCAAGGCAAGTTGATCTAAGCAAGTACCTAAGAGCCCATGGATAACCATGGATAGAAAGGGTGCTAACACCTTCCCTTTCTATAATCTACTCCCCGAACCCAAGAAAAATCTCAAAGGTTTTTGCTGTGCTTTTTAACCTTTCCTTAGGATAAAATAAAAAGTCGGTGGCGACTCTTGCTCAATCGAAACATTTGCGAAAACAAACGCAAAACCATAGTCAGTTCTCCCACCGTATCACATATTGTCTTTAAGATAAGGGTTTTCTAACAGTTGATTTTATCTTACCATACACACCCTAATTACTAACAATTATATGAAAAGTGATAAATTTGTGGAAATTAAAATCCTACGCTATTACATCATTAGGGAAGTGGGGGTATAATTTACAAATGGGATGAAGTAGATGTCTAATTATTACAACCATATCGAATAGCTGGACAGTAATGAAGAAAACCTGTGAAAAATGTAAAGACGGTGTAAAAAGAAAGAAAAATTACATTTTAAACTATTATGTGTCGACACAATGCTGGTATGCATCGACACATAACTCTTCTTGCTCCTGTAAAACAAAAACAACTTAGTATGAGTCGATGCATAATGGGACGTGTCAACTCATGCACCTGTTTGTATCGACACATACGCGTTTTGTGTCGACTCATGCACCTTTCACCCTTCTGTTTTGGGGCCAGGATAACATTATGAGTCGATGCATAAGGCCATGTGTCGACTCATACCCTATTTTGTCACTAGAATGAGTCGACCCATGTGGGTATGTGTCAACTCATGCTGCATTTTTTTGCCTCTATCATCATTCTTTTGCATGTATCAGTCAGTTTTCAACATATAATTGATAAAAATGAACAGCAAGTAAATGGTTAACTTCAAAGGGCAGTGATTACTACATTCTATATTCACAAATGAACCAAAGATGATGTATGGAAAATGCAAAGTCAAGATGGCTTACCTTGAAACTGCACTTTTTGTTTTGAGTCTGAACACTTTTCAAGATGTTGTGTGGACTTCAATGAACCTCTAAAAAGCTGTTGAACCTCCTTCTGTATTGAAAGTTGCTGAACCAAACTCCAAACGGTCAAGTTGTACAATATTGTCTTTTTGTTTAGAAGGTGAAGATAAGGGCACTACATAAACTGTTCTTATACTTGAACAATCTCTATGTGATATGAAATGTTTAGCTGGTTTATGGGAGTGTTTGCAAGATGGGATAATGGGTTAAGGTTCTTTTTTTGTGAATGAAGATAAAACTTAAGATGAGCAGAAGTTACAAGAAAAGTTTTGTTAGATTTTTGTTTAAAAACTCTCTATTCTCTCTCTAAAATCCAGCCTCTCTTTTTCTCCAAAAGCCCCCCTTGTGTGTTGTGAAAAACAATTCATTTATAGATGAAGTTGGCTGAAGTTTGGGAGGGAAACAAATGAATTTTTGAACTTTTTGGGTATGTTGTTTCATAGCCTTTTTGGATGCAGCTCTTTGTATGCTAACTTGGTGCAACCATGGGACTGATATGATGCAGATTTTCAGGGCAGTATTGCAGGTTTTGGAGCAGACTGTGACAACATAGCATGGTTGTTTTTATGGATTTGAGTCAAAGGGAAAAGTTCAAACAAGACAAGGCTTTAGGATTTGTAACTTAACAATTTTTAACTTAAAAAAATGCAGCCTTGTAATAACTTGAATTATCTGTAACATCTTGAATTATTTGTAACATTTTGAATTATTTGAATTATAGTGAAAAGATGTCATGAAGCAATGAAATTAACAAGTATACAAATACTTAAAAAAAATTCTAAGTCTTGCAAAGTTTGACTTTTCAAAATGACTCTTAACTTTCTTGGTTTTTGATGATCAAATTTCATTTTTTGAATGCCTTGATGAAATATGATATTTGAAACCCAATATTCGGTCAAAAAGTCAAAGTTTGACTTTTAGTGTATAGTTGACTTTTTTTCTAATACAACTGATTTTAAGCCATTTGATCAATTGACTGAGCGATTTTGTGATTTAAAGCTTGAAACTTGACAGGAGGAATTTGAGGGTCCATAAATGATCCATGAAAGTCATTTGAAGTATCAGAAGTCCAGTTGTCTTTGTGCAAATTTAAACCCTAATTTAAGGCGTCGATATTGAGGAGATAGCTTGACCTAATCAACACTTGTGCAAACTTGAATCATTGAAGATCTTTGTAGAATATATCTTGAGAAATGAGAGGGCAAATTTTGAGGTACAACATCATCTTATAAGAGGAGGGATGCTTTGACGACGACACAACACCAAGATATTTTAAATAAACTTGAGAGGGGTGAGATATCTAGAGGAAGGGGATTGCACCAATCATCTAGTCTCACTAGACCCGGGGATACTATATGGGGTTCACATCATACTACATTGCTTCGTTTTGATCAAATATGGTTATTCGTGTTAAAGGTGCTAAGTATGGTTGATGAAGAAGAACGTGGACCATCTCAAGCAGCGGATTTGATAAAAAAAATGGAGAGCTTTAAATTTTCTTTTATTTTAAAGTTAATGTTAAAGTTGTTTGGTATCACAAACGAACTTTTAAATGTCTTTCAAAGAAAAGATCTTAATATTGTGAATGTCATGGAATTAGTTGATGTTGTTAAAGCTCGGTTGGCCACAATGAGAGAGAGTGGTTGGAATAATTTATTTGCCGATGTCCAAGAATTTTGTGTTGCTAAAGGTATTCTGATGCCAAATATGAATGACGAAATACCGGTTCGGGGTCAGTCAAAGGCAGAAGGGAGAACTATCCTTAATCTTCATCATTACCGTACATAGATTTTTTATGTAGCTATTGACAAAATATGTGTGGAGATGGATCACCGGTTTAGTGAAGAAAGTACCATTATCCTTGATTGCTTCTCATGTCTTGACCCCAAGAACTCTTTCTCCAAGTTTGATGTTGATAAGCTTGCATGTCTTACTAATAGTTATCACGAAGGCTTTTCTGATGATGGTCGTGAAACAATAAGGGATCAACTTGACACTTATGTTCTTCAAGTGAAAAGAAATGCTTCATTTTTCACTTGTGAAGATGTTCAAAGTTTGGCTATGAAGATGGTTCAAACTGAGAAACATTTAGTATTTCCTCTGGCTTACAAACTTATTGATTTAGCTTTGATATTACCGGTGTCGCCAACATCCATTGACAGAGCCTTTCCAACAATGAAGATTATCAAGTCTAAATTGTACAATAAAATCAACAATGTGTGGTTTAATGACTTGATAGTATGTTATACTGATTGATAAATATTCAAGTCACTTAATAATATTAATATTATTCGAACATTCACTGCAAAAATATCTCAGAAAAAACATTTATCTCGTAGTTTTATTTAACATACTACTGTGAAATTATATTTCATCTATTTTATTCTCTTTGATGACAACTTATATATTATACATAATAAATTTATGGTCTTTAAATTTTTATCGATACTATATAATTTTTTTGACTTCGCTAATGTGTGTAGTGACCGATAGAATATAAATTATTGACCACAAGTGAATGCGGTACTTATTCTTATTCATTAGACACCATGAATGAATCCATCAATGGAATGCAACGTACCAACAAGTATAGTGGTCACACCACAAATGCACTAACAACAAACAACCCTACTACATTAAAAAACACAGAGATTTGCATCCTCCAATTATCAAGTGGCGTTGACCTTCCTGCACAAATGATTAATGGTAAGACTACTATGTACCAACCATAATGTTGTGGCCTTTTCACATAATTAAAAGAGCATGCATTTTCTGGTACATAAACATGATGAATAAAAAATATCAACTTTAAAGTGTGTGCATATCTTCATTATCATTTTAAAACAATCTAGATCCTCTTGACTTTTTTTATAGATAAAATACTATTTTTAATTCGATAGTTTAATGTCAAAGTTTATTTTAGTCTTTTAATTGAAAAAATATTTATATTATTTTTTTAATTCTTCAAAGTTTTTATTTTATTTATTTTATCTAATTTATGACGAATTTAATATTTAATTTCTGAATTTTTTTTATCGTTAATTAAATAAAAATAATTAAAATAAAATATTTTTAAAAATTAAAAGACTAAAATGAACGGAATCTTTTATTTTATCTTTCTTATATTGGCTTCCTTGTTCAACTTTTGTTCCCTTCTCTTTGATCTTTTCTTCATTCTAAATTCCAACATGACCAATCATAATAAATCAATTAATATTTTAGTAACCTCTTCTTCACTATATAATCACCTTATCATAATATATTATTCACATACAAATTCATTCATCTCTTATCATAAAAAAAACCATGGCCGTCCAAAAATTCATAACCACACCAATTTTGATTGTTCTAATGACCCTTTTCTTCAACGCATCATCATCATCATCATCATCTAATGGTGTTAGATCTGCATATTGGCCTGCAGGTGGTGACTTTTCACCTTCTTCAATCAACACAAACTACTTCACTCATATTTTGTATGCTTTCATTCAACCCGAACCTGTTTCATTCAACCTTATTATCACCAAATCCGACCAAAAATGGGCCCACAACTTCACCAATGAACTCCGCCGCCATTCTCCGCCGGTGAAAACTCTTTTATCCATCGGAGGTGGTGGAAGCAACTCAAGCCTCTTCTCTGAAATCGCTAGCACAAAACAAAACAGACAAGTCTTCATAAACTCAACAATCCACGTGGCACGAAAATACGGGTTCGACGGCGTTGACTTGGATTGGGAATTTCCTCAAAATCAAAATGACATGTTTAACCTCGGTTTGTTATACGAGGAATGGTATCATGCTTTGTTTGCCGAAGCTAAGGTTGGGAGAAAGCCACGTTTACTTTTGACTTCCGCTGTTTATTATAATTCCACGATTAGACTTATTGGTAATGGGCCTAGATCATACCCGGCCCAAGCCATCAATAAATACTTAGACTGGGCCAGCCCAATGTGTTTTGACTATCACGGCTCATGGGCTAACAACACGGGCTTCAACGCTGCTTTGTATGACCCGAAGTCCGAAATCAATACACATTTTGGAATCGGGTCATGGATCAAAGCAGGTGTACGGCCCGAAAAGTTGGTTATGGGCTTAGCGCTATACGGAAGGACGTGGGAACTTAAGAATCCGAGTGTTAATGGAGTCGGAGCGGAAGCGGTGGGGCCCGCAGTCGATACCGATGGGAGTATGAATTATGTTGAGATTGTGAAGTTTAATCAAGAGAATGGTGCTAATGTTGTGTATGATAAGGTTGCTGTGTCTTTCTATTCTTACGCGGGAAGCACTTGGATTGGGTATGATGATGGGCTTTCTATTAGGATTAAGGTTGGGTTTGCTAAGTCATTGGGCTTAAAGGGCTATTTCTTTTGGGCTCTTGGGAAGGATAAGGGTTGGACCATCTCAAAACAAGGTAATTCATATTGTTCTCTTTTCAACTTTTATTTTATTTATTTATTTTTATACTTTAAATAAAAATGAATTTATATTTTTTTTTGTGTTTTGCAGCTTCAAATACATGGGGACACTGACCATTACATCGACTTTAATTTCATGTAATCTTAGACCTTTATAATTCATAGTCGCTTTTTTCACATATAAGATATAAAATCATTATTATTGAGTTCATGGTACCATTGTATTCTTGAATTTGAATAGTTTTTTTATTCAAGAAATTTAAATAGCATACATGAAATTAATCTGATTATGTACCGACTTCGTATTTTGAACTAAATAACATTTAAGTAAATTAATTTATTAGTTGGAATTAATCAATTAATATATTTTAAAAAATTGATTGACATTATAATGTAGTACAAACTATAAACTGTTAAACTAGTGTATATTATACATGGAATAATTTGAGAAACATATTATTAGTGTCATTTCACAACTATAATTTGTTTTTTTTTTTTGAGAAAAAAAATATGTATTGTTAGTGTAAAATATTTTTATACCGATAATCAATCAACGACGTATATTTCATTACATCACATTTAAAATTTGAAATTATTTTAATAATTTAATAATTTATTAATATTTCATTAAACAACCGTGTAAAAATAATTTACGTCAGTGCATATCTATTACACTATGTTTTTATGTCTTAATATTCCACTTTATTTATTTAAATTATAAATTATTTTACAATATCAATGAATTATTAATATTACTTTTACTAATATATTATTAATTATTTATTATTTTAACTTCTTTCAGTTTCTATATTTATATTTTTTATATCTTTAACAAAGAATGATTTAATAAAATGTTAGTTTAAATACAGTTTTGATGTTTTTATTTAGTTATTTTTTTAATTTTTTGTTTTTTAAAAATTTAAATTCTTGATCTCTTTATTAGGTTTTTTGGATTTTATTTTGTCTTGCTTCATTTTGTGAATGTCCATTTTTGTACCCCATCATTAATTATGTTGATTTGAAATTATTAAATTAAAAAATTTATTATTAAATAAAATAAATAATTAATAAATAGTTATAATATTATCTAATAATAATATAAATAATTATATTTAAAACGGCATAAAATAAGTTATAACAATTTTTTTACAATTAATTATATATATATTTTATATTAAACATGGTATTTTGGAAATTAATTTGAGAAATTAAATAATTAAAACTTCTAAAAATGCAGAATTGTAGGAGCCATAGTTTGGACTAGTGACCTAAAAGACATAGGCACCAAGCTTTAGCAAACTGCGCCAATCAACTAATGATGTTTTGGTTGTGGCGAAAGAAATTTCTATCATGTGTTTTTGTATAGAGCTGTTACAAATGTTCCTGCAAATATTATTATAGTATTATTAATTAAAGGCGGTAAAACGGGCCGTTCGTCCTGCTCCGTCTTAAGTCTGCAAAAAAAAAAGTGTGGTGGGCAAATCCGTCAAGTAAAAATAAGCATAAAAATCTAGTTCTCCTCGTCAAAGTGGCTGGTTGGCAGGCGGCGGGCTTGCCGGTCTATTTTGTAATTTATTTATTTTTATTTTTTAAATAGTTTAATAGGCTTTCATCTACATTTCAATTAGAATTTTCACTTATTTTTTAGTACAATTTTAATAAAGTATTTTTTTAACAAATTTTACTTAAAAAAATATTACATATATTCACAAATAAATATATAAAATAAAATCATTAAGAATTAGAATTATTAGAATTAACTAAAAAAAGAAGGACTTCAGGTGGGTAAGGCTGGACGAATAGGGCGATGCTGGTTTTGATGGCCGACGGGTTTTTGTGGGGCGAGCTTTAACAGGTGCGGGTTTTGGCGGAGTAGACTTTGATGGGCGGCGAGCCCAAAACCTCAACCCAACCTGCCATTTTTTGGCAGGTACACAGACCGGCCTAGCGGGCTACAATCCGTTTTGCCACCCCTAATTATAACTTGTAACTGATTGAAATGTTTTTACATGTGATATCTTTACGTGCTTTAGTCTCCACATATTAACATAATTAATTATGACCTCTAATGTTTGGAAGTCTCAATTATTAATTTTTATTTTTTGTGAAATCATATTTGAGAATCTTAAAAATTAATTTCCATCGATGATCACTAATAATGACACAATGAAATTACATAGATTCATCATAAAATGTGTAGCACGAAAATCACATGAAGTAAGTTAGTATGTACATGTTAATTTTCAACTGGTTCTATTTTACTTTTGTGAGATCATTCAATAACCTTATTTACAAAGCATAAATAGTTGAATGTCAAACTTTATAAACAAAAAATATTCAAAACCAAAGTATGCATACATAATACAAACATAGAATATAAAATTTATAATGACTAACTCTCTTTAAACTAAAGATTCCTCAAATTGTAAAACACTTATATGAGCAGTGTGCTCACGAAAGACCTTGGGTGGAAGACCTTTTGTAAGAGGATCTTTTACCATGGAGTTTATCCCAAAGTGTTTTATGGAAAACCATTTACTTTGTACCATTTTCTTAACAACTAGAAACTTGATGTCAATATGTTTTGACTTGGTCGAGCTTCTACTATTGTTGGAATATAGGACGAATGATTTATTATTATAGTATAATTTTAGTGGTATTTCAACTCATTCTACAATTCTCAGCCCAGTGACAAGTCTCCTCAATCCAAACCCATGATTATAGGTCTCATAACATGCTATAAACTACATTGTTATGGTGGATGAAGTCGTAAGAGTTTGCTTGACAATGCGTCAAGAAACTGCATCACCATCCAACATGTAGATATAAATTGAAGTGGATCATTTACTATCTTAGCTTCCAATGAAGTATGAGTCAGAGTATCCAGTGATTTCTAACTGGCCTGACCTCCTATATGTGAGCGTAATAATCTTTTGTTCTTTTTAAATTCCTCATAAACTTTTTGGTTGCTTTCTAACGACCCATTCCTGGATTGCTTAAATATTTTCCTAACACCCAAATTATGAACGCAATATCCAGACGCGTATAGACTTAAGCATACATCAGACTCCCTACAGGTGACACGTAAGGAATCTTTTACATTTCTTGAATTTCTAAGTTTCCTTTTGGGAACCGAGTGAGACTAAATTCATCTTTCTTAGCAATTAGAGTATCCCTTAGTTTACACTTCTGCATGCAAACATTTTAAGTACCTTTTTGATATAGATCCTTTGTGATAATCCTAGAATACCTCGAGATCAATCTTGTTGTGTCCGAATTCCTAATACAAAGGAGGTGTCACCAAGATATTTCTTTTCAAATTTTCTTGATAGTAATTTCTTGGTTTCGTGCATCATGCCTATATCATTTGTGGCAAACAATATGTCATCAACATACACGACCAGGAAAAATTTACTTGCTCCCACTGAATTTATGATACACACAATCTTCAACAACATTCACCTCAAAACTAAATGAGAGAATTACTTCATGAAACTTGTGGTACCATTGGCGACTTCGAATTTAGTCCATAAACGGATTTTGTCAATTTGAAAATCATATTCTTTGAGTCTCCCATACAAAGTTTTATGGTTGCACCATATAAAACGTTTCATCAATGTTACCATTGAGGAATGTCGTCTTGACAACCATTTGATGGAGTTTCAGATCATAATATCCAACAAGAGACATGATTGTCTTAAAAGAGTATTTCGATGAAATCAGATAGAAAGTCTCTTTAAATTGAACCCCTTACTTTTGGTTATAACCCTTAGCCATAAGATGAGCCTTATACCTCTCCACATTATCGTTAAAATCCAGCTTGGTATTAAAATCCATTTGCAACCAATGTGTTTCACACCTTATGGTAACATGACAAGTTAGCAAACATTATTGTCTTGCATGAACTTATACTCCTCCTTCATTGATTCAATCTACTTTTCCGAGTTGGAATCCTGTATGGCAGTCATCTTCCATATACCATCATTTTCCTCATGTTCTTGGAGAAAGACTATGTAATCATCTGGAATAGCATTTCTCCTTTCTCTAGTGGATCTCTACAAAAGTATTGGTTTTGTAACACTTTTCTTGAGAACTCTGAGTTTTTTCTTCATGAATTACCAAATCATCTTGAATAGGAGGAAATTCAACAATGTCTCGCGGAGGTTCCATAATTGCTTGATCAAAAGCAACTGTATGAATTGGTTTTGAAATTGTTACTGATTCTTCCTCTAAAATAATTTTCTAACCTTATTCTTCCTCCAAACTCAATATCATCAAAGAACGTGGTTGTTCCCGTCTCAAAAATTGAGTTTAATTTTGGATCATAAAATTTGTATCCCTTAGATCTTTCAAAATAACCAATAAAGTAGTTGCTTACTGCTCAGAAGTCTAATTTCTTTTCATTTAGCCTATAAGGTCTTGCCTCATCTGGACATCCCTATACGTAAAAATGTTTTAGACTAGGCTCTCGCTCATTCCAAATCTCATAAGGTGTTTTGGTAGTTGCCTGGGTGTTTATTGGTATATTTTAGTAAATCAAGTCACAAGTTTTAGTTCACTTAATTGATTAAACACGAAAATAATCCTAAGGACAATTTGTGCAGAAAAGTATAAGGAGAAGTGTTTGTGCTTGGAACTTTGATGTTTGAACATCATAATAAATGTCATGAAAGTAAATCCTTCAAATTTATAGAATTAAAAGAAAAGACGCATACTCATACACCTTCTCTCAAATTATTTCTCTCTATGACTTGGATACTTTAGTTCTATATAGAATAAGTACATTTTGTAACCTTGATTCCATCAATGAACTTGACTTATATACTAATCTAAGTTTAACCATCGATAACGGTTATATATGTAGAGATCAACATGTGTCCCCCCTTACATGGGCTCAAGTCATTCAATTTGCTTCCATGTGTCCCCAACATTTGAACAATTGCAAACCATCACTCACGCTGATATCTACTTTTAGATCTCTCAACTCCCTTTGTCGAGAATCTCCAATTGAATCCCATAATGTTTTTGAAATGTATCTTTTTTAACTGACCTCTAGATTTTAAAAATAGACTAATTCCCTAACATTTTTTAGGTGTGTCAAATTCGAAACCTCT